TGGTTTTCTAAAAATACCTCTTTTAATATACCAGTGTGTCTACTTCAAACGAGCCTTCCTGTGGCCATTGCAAAGCAGGATTTTATAAGCTTGCTTGTTCCTAATGTGACAGTAAAATAAGGCTTTTAAGAAAGAGACCTGCTGGCAGGCTTCTTGTGTTTTTCTACCATTAAAGCCAGTGGTGAATCACAGGCAACCTTCGAGCCTGTATTACCCATTTTGCTCAGCAGTAACTCAAAATTTGCAGCGAGGATTTGGAATTTTCCCTGGGAGCCCAACCCCACTGAGCCAAAGTAGTTGAAGGGGCACCTTTTAGCAAATATGCAGGGTTTCTTACCTAATCAAAAGTGGCCAAAATCTTCCAACAAATTCACCCAGCAAAGGACTCACTTGAGGTAGACCATCCATTATTACCAAAGGATTGAAATAAAGAAGAAATCGAGGCCCAAAAGAACAAGAAATTGATGAGGCCCAAAGGAACATGCTAATTCATAAAAACAGAATAAGCTATTTTTGTCACTGAGAAAAAATAACCCTGAATTCATGTAAAGATAGCCTGTAAGTGGCTACAGAACTATAATGAATTTGCTTCTCTGTTTATATGAAATTAAAGCCACAGTCCCTAAATATCATCTGACTTTTTTAGTAAACTCAGCAGATAGTTACTTTGCATCAGTGGGTACACTGCGCTTCCTCTGACATCCTGTTTCTGTTTTGGTCAGGCTCCTTCTTTTTCATAGCTGGTTATCAGAACCTCCTCAGTTGCTCCTTACATTGTATCCAACACGTGATTAGTCACATCCGGTCTCCCACAACCTCTCATCTGTGGAAGTCCAGTCTGCAGCTTGGACCGAGTTGGTAGTTGTCTGCTCAGACTAGTATTACTAGGGGCGACTCTGGGCCTTGGCTGGCAAGGAATTCTAAGGCAACAGCAGCCATTCCAGGGATTTTCTAGTCAGCATTCATTTCTTTGGCCTGGTAAAGGGAAGATTGACTGGGAAAGTGTTAGGGACTCAGGGACCCACCCTACACATCCCCACTTGTCTGCCTTTCCCTCTCCCTGTAGGAGATAAGATATTAGCATACTCCCATGTGAGATCTAAGGCCGGACCAAGGGTGAACACCGACTGCTGGTTGCATTAAATATATTCAGGTTGCTGTTGGGTTTCATTGTACCTAAATGTGGAATACTGTGTTTTAGAGAAAACACGCCTTCGACTTGATAGAGTATTGCCAAATTGCTCTCCTGAATTGTCCCAGTTCACACTCCCACCTGTAATGTATGAGTTCTTACTTTCACACATCCTTGGCAACATCTGGTGTTTGCAGACTTTATTTTTTCCATTCTGATGAGTGTGAAGTGGTGTCTCATTTAGGCTTTAATTTGCATTTTTTCACTGTTGAGCATCTTTGCATGTTTGTTGGTCATTTGGGTTTCCTCTTCTGTGAATTCACTGTTTATATCTTTTGCCTTTCAAAAAAAACCCAAAAACTGGTTCCTCTTCTCAGTGTTAGGAGTACTTTATATATTCTGAGTACTAGCCTTTTGGTTGGTCCTGTATGTTGCAAGTGCCTTCTCCCAGTCTCTGGCATTTTTGTTTATGGAGTATTTTGCATACAGAAGTTTTATGTGCCCCAATGTAGCCGTCCTTTCCTTGGTGTAGCATGTGGTTGCCCGTCGTCTTTAAGAAGTATTTTCCTATCCTGATATAAATGTCCCCTATAATTTCTTCTAAAAGTCTTACAATATTTCTTTTCATATTTAAATCTTTGATCTGTCTACAGTTTATTTTTGTGTATGGTTTGAAATAAAAATGCAGTTTTATTTTTCCCCATATTAATAACCAGTTGCCCTAGGGCTATTTGTTGAATGTTTTCTTCATTGATTCGTAAGGTCACTTTATCATTTCTATATACCTGTGTGCGTCACCTTACACTAAGCTTTTCTGTTACATGTTTTCTGTGTTGTTGTTTTATCTTTGCCTATACCAATACAACAGTGATTGGATTTCTGTAGTTTTATACTAAGTATTGATACCTGGTGGGGAAGTTCCTCCTCTTTTGTTCCTCAGAATCGCTTAACTGTTCTTGGCCTTTTGTCTTTCCATGTTAATTTTAGGATCAGCATCTCACGTTCCATAAAAAACTCTTTGAAGATTTTTGTTGGAATTGCAGTGCACTGTAGATTATTTGAGGAATTGCTATCTTCATAAATCGAATCTTATCATCCAGGAAGATGGTACATTGTTCCTTTCACTTAGGTCTTCTCTTACTCCCTTTAATACAGGTTTTCAGTTCTCACTTTCTCTATAAATCTCTTGTTTTTCTTTTCTTCTTTAGATTTATTTGGTTGTTGTGACTGTTACAAATGGGATATTTTAAATTAAGTAGTTAATTGGCTTGCTGGTGAATAGCAATACTCATTTTGAACTAGAACCTTGTATCTTCAATGTAATAACATTGTCAAAATACAGGATGTCCCCAAAAAATGTATACATATACTTTAACAGCTGATAGCTGTTAAATGAAAATGAAGTGTATTTTAATAAACACTGCCTTTATAATTATTCAAAGTGTGTGCATACATTTTGGGGGGACACCCTATATATTATCCATTTGACACAGATGTCTGATGTCCCTTTAAATCTGTTCTGTGGCCTAGCACACAGCTAATTGCATCAGTCTTTTCTGTGTCCTTGAAAAGATTTTCTCCTCACTAATTTTGTGCAGGGTTTTGCACACATCCCTTAGATCTGGCTTGTAATTGACCGTCCAGTCTACAGTCTCGCTAAGTGTTCTCTGCTTCACCTGTCCATCATGTGATTGTGGACTCATTCGTTTCTTCTGGTAATCCTGTGAGCTTTTGCATTACTCATATGGAGACTGAGTTCACAATTATTTTAGCTTCCTTGTGAATTGTTCCTTTATTACTATTATGTAATAACTTTTTATTGCCAGTAATTTTTTGCCTTAAAATAATTTTTCTGATACTAATACAGCTTTGCCAGTGTTTTTGGTTTGTGGTTTAACTAATGTAGCAGCTGAGGATGTGTGTAGCTGCAAATACCAGGGAAAAAAAATGACTACAGTTTCTTAAACAAATAAGGGGGAGGGCCTTTTTTTCTCTAATAATGAGATCAGAGATGTGGGTCCATCTGCCCAGAAACCCAGGCTCTCTGTTTCCATTTGCCACTCACAGTACGGCCCTTTTGTCCCCCTGCTGGCTTTCTCCCTGTGAGGTTTTGTGGGATGGGCTGGGGGGAGGGGGTTGAGGGAAAGGAGAGGCTATGAGAACAGCCTTTATTGTCAGTGTTGCATGGTACAGTATCCAGTTTCAGCACGTGTAGAATCTTTGTCTCATGTTCGCTGTTTACTCACATTTTATGAAAGTTATTTCATCAAAAGATGGAATCTTCTCTTCCCATAGGAAAATGTGACCTTTGCCCTTCCCAGGTGAAGTCACTGGGAAGACAATCCTTCTAGTCCACTCCTAGCGCCAGAAGCAGTTAATAATGCTCAAGTCTCAGTAAACAAAATGTCCTAACGAGCAGATAATCATACACTTAGATCTCAGAGCACTGGTGTAAAATAAAATGGTTAGCTTTCAGCAAGTTGAGTTTTCGTATTTAGGAACAGTTAATATACATGTTCTCTCAAAAGATGGTACCATCATTTTCTCTAGTTTTTTAGAAGACTGATTAGATATCAGTGTTTCCCATGAACCCAGCATCACTTCATATAATTTGCTGGGGCCCAGGTGAGGCCTTCGTACCTACAAAATGTGACCTCAGACTCCCCCACCCTGTCTCCCTTTGTCCGAAACTTCCAGTACATTTGATTTCACCTCAGATCCTGCCCCAGACTGTTAGGATGGGTGTGTGGAACCATCGAGTCTCTGGTTTGCATTTATAGCCTTCTATGTCTATAGAACAAGGTGGTCTGTTTCTTTTTGTTTTTAAAATGATTAACCATATTTAGATGGTTCTAGTGCTTCCCAGGGGACCACTGGAACAATATATTAATATACCTAATGTTTGATTTGTGCTAAAAGTTAGTAAAGCATCTACCTACCTATATCATTTAGACTTCCTAGCTCCACTAGAGATAAAAATGCAGCCTTCAGGGCTCAAACTGTAAAAGAAAGCAGTGTCAACAATAAATAAATAAATATTTTTTTTAAAAAAATAATGCAATTATTGCATTCAAAGTAGGAGACTGTTTCTTTACAAACACTGGAGGAGTTGTTTTGAATTATTAGGTTCCGGTGCACAGGCAGAGCTTGGTGCTGCATGAATACTTGTCAGATGACTATATTCTCAGCTGGGCATTTTCTTTTAGGCCCTGACACTGCTAATCCAGCTTTGAATGCCCCTGTGTGGCCATTAATCCTTGTCTGACACGATAGTGCTAAACTGAAACCAGGTGTCTTTTCGTTGAAAGACACGGAAAGTGTTTCTCGTGTGAGGTTAAACATGGTGAACGGATTTTTCCTGTTAGTGCACATGTACACGTTGCCTTACATGGTCACCGTATACATTTTGTGCGTTACTTAATCGTTGTATTGAAATGTACACATTAGAACTCTCGAGAAGGAAGTTTTTAAAAACGAACAGGTATTCCATTCCTCCGCCTTTACAGTTTTCTCCTGTGCGACTTCTCTTTTACATTTGACTAACTTATTCTTGCGGTTTGAGGCCCTTTCCTTTCCCCATCTGGTCACAGAGAGCAAGTATCTTTCTGACTGATTATCCTCTACAACTTTACATTTGAAAACTTATTTTTCTTTTTTCTCCACACAAAAATCATCCCAATTTTTTTATTATTTTTCTCAGATTTTCAGCCTCTAAGTTAACTCAGTGTTGCTCTGGGCTGTTCGGCTCCATCTGACATTTGAAATCCCCTGTAACTATGGTAATGATGTGCTCACTCCTGTTTACAAGTGGGAATTACGTTAAATTTAGGTTTTGGTGTGTTTTAAGTGTCCTAAACTAATCTTTCAGCCACGGAAACAAAGAAGTTTTTTCCTGCCGAGGGATAAAGTTGGCAGTGGATTGGTTTTTGGAAAGAGGCCACAAAGATATTACAGTTTTCGTCCCCGCCTGGAGAAAAGAGCAGTCCCGCCCTGATGCTCTCATTACAGGTAAGCCCGACGAGCCGTGTGCTCTCACTCTCCGCAGCTTCCTGGGCAGGGGTCAAACACTGCGCTCATCTGTTTCTGTTTTCTCACACTGTGTGACTGCCACGTTATCTCAGGTGGAACATTCAGGTTATTTTCAAGTTTACAGACTCTCTGTTAACTAAACCAGTCTGATTATGTTAACTCAACTAGTCATTCTTGCTACATAAGCCGTTTTTTTATTCTTAATTTGGAAACTTTTTACTTCAAATTTTGTGACATTTTGAACTTTAGAGACATGCTAGGTGTCAGGAGACTTAGATTCAAATTCCGCCTTTGCCACTCACTAGCTGTGTAGGACTTCGAGCAACACACTGAACCCCAGTTTTCGCATCTGCTATAAAAATTAGACTAGGTGACAATCACATTATAGTGGCTGCAGATCAAAAAAGATCTGTGAGACTTGGGATAAGCCGTCTGGTATCAAGTAGAAGGAAATGACTCTATCCCAATAACGTATCTGTATTTGGCATTGTTTTCTAATTTCTAAATGTGTGAGTGTCAGGCAAAAATGTCCTCTGTGCCTGCTAATTATTATTCAAGTTAAGTGATTTTCAGTCAACATCCAACCCTTCTTACCCCTCTCTCTGCCTTTGCTCAACAGTAGCAAAAATGGAGTAACTGGGTAGAGAAAATACACTTCAAAATCAAAAACAAATGGAGAGACCACTTACCATGTACCTGAAATCTGATTTTGGGACTTTATTTTTATCTGTAATCATTAAACCATTAACAGCCTAGCATAAGAATAGATAGACAAGTTATGGTGGAGTCCAGAGCCATGGACTCAGGCCATAGCCTGAGTGGGAGAGGTAGGCATAATTCAGCCAGTAAGTAGTACCAGGGCACTGGATAACTCTTTGGGGAAAATATACATATTTAGTTCTTATGTTACATCATATAACAGTTAATTCCAGATGGTTGAAGAATTAATTGTCAAAAGTTAAACCATTAGAGACTATAAATAGTCTTTGAATGGCTGGGAAGAACTATCTAAATTTAAATTTTTTTAAAGAAATTACGAAGGAAAAGATAGATTTACTTGCATCAGAATTTACATCTGTATTTGGGGAAACTTTCTTAACAATGAGAAATCTTATTTGCCTAAGGAAAAAAATACAACCAATAAACACAGAACCCATGTCCTAACATGTCAGGAGCTCATACACGTTGATAAAACAAACGTGAAGTCTCCCCAATATATAATGGCAGTGCGGTAGGGATAGTCGGCCTGCAGACAAAGGCCGGTGTCAAATAAGAGAAAAGTGTTCACCTCATTAGCAATTAAAGAAATGTGCATTTAAACAAGTCTTGTTTTTCACCCATCACATTTGCAGAGATAAAAAGGGATAGTTCTCAGTATCCTGAGGGGATTACTCCTACAGTGCTGTGGAAACGTAATGGTTACAACCTTTCTGGAGAAGTTTGGTCTTAAAATGTTACTAATCTTGGATCTACTGCTTCCCCTCCTATGAATAATTCCTCAGAAAATAAGGAGAGGTCCAAGCAAAGATTTCTGACCACAAAGACATTCAGGGCAAAATACTTACAATAGAAAACAAGATAGAAACAAACCATACATTCTTTAAAAGAACCATACGGTAAATTAGTATATAATTAGTGTACATTGATAGGATGGAATGTGTATTAGAATATTAGGCAGCATTTTTAATGACCTGAGGAAGTGCTCTTTTACATAAAAGGCAGGTTTTTGTATTGTGTGTGTGTGTGCACACATATACATACGTATGTACATGTAGTATAAACAGTGGAGAGAGAGAAAGACACAGAAAGGATTATAAGGAAATATGCCCAAATATTCGCAGTAATTGAGCTGAGAAAGAAACAGTGTTTCAACATGAAAATGGCCGGCAAGCTTCTCGAGCACAGACAGAATGTGAGACCCGAAGGGAAAAGATTATCCCCAGTGTGGGCTGCGGCTCAGTGTAGTGTTTGAAACACCGGCATGATCACGTGGAACCCGTCAGCATGTAGTTCACTCTGCAACATGCACACACCACCGCCAGAGGCTGCTAGGTGTTCTCTCCCCAGGACAATCATTCCCTGACCAAAACCTCAACCAGATAATAACTGGGAAATTGAATAGTCCCATATTTTTTTCACTGTATAAAAAAAAAAACTTTAAAATATTTCTTATAAAGTTCTCAGATATAGATTCAGACCAGAGCCTTTGCCAGTCTTCTGTTGATATATCAAACACCTACAAGCAAGTACTCAGCTCTGTATCAGGTACCGCGCTAGGAACAGAGATTCCGTTAACTTACTAGCTGTACTACACCCATATTTATTTTAGTTAAGATTCCTTATCCTAACTAGTTGCCATCTAATTAGTTATCCCTAATTAGTGTCCTGTTTTTCTCATTGCCTGTTAAGGAAATGCAGAGTAAGCAAGGCGATGGTTACTGTTCGGCTCCCACACTTGTTCCTTCAGTCATTTTGGTGAGGGTCCAGGCATATCACATATGATGGAACATTTCCACAAGTAAAGTACCAAGGCTTATTCATGAACATAGTAAAGAAGCTGGCAGACCTCTGAATGCACATGGTTAAGTAGCTCACATATTCATTTGCAGACATTTATTATCTGCTGATGTGCTGAGTGCTGGTGGAAACAAAGATCAATGAGACATGGCATCTGCCCTCAAAATGTTTATCAGGGGAACACACAAAATAATTAAAAGGTCACAGATCCTGTAGTGGAGACTGGGCTTTTAATTTTTATTGGTTTTGTGGTTTTTAAAAGAGATCAACAATTACATACATCTATTAAACAAAATTAAGTGAAAGAACACATTGTTCATTGAGAGCTTTCCAGGCACTGGGCTAAGCGCTTTTAACTCAGACCCCTCAGAGTCCATCGGCTGCATTTGAGGACATGAAGAAACAGGGCTGATTTCATGGACATAAAGTAGCAGAACCTGAGGTTTAGCCGTGACTTGCTGATTTCAAGACCCACGTTTCTTCCACTTCTCTGCTGCTTCTCTAAACCAAGTTCTGGTTCAGTGAACTTTGGAACTTTATTGGGAACATCGTGAAGTCTACGTGCCAGCATCGGAGCTAGTTGACCCATATCGCTCGTCCGTCCCCACTCCCCTCGTACCCTGCTCATACTTCTGTGTGGCAGTTACAGCCCTTGCTTACCTAGTTTACATGTTTGTCCCATCCAACCCCCAAGGCCTCCTTGAGGAGAGGTCATTCGTAATCTTGGTGGCCATTAACACTTAGCAGAGTACTTACCTTAGAGGAGGCACGTAGTGATTGTCCGCTGGAGAGACAGAGGTATAAAAAATTAGTAACTCCAGTTAATTCACAAGTTGCTCAGCCATGTTTAAGTTTTCTGCTTTTAATTTTTTTTAACTTTTAAAAGTTTCTGAAGTTTTAAACTTTTTATGTTTTTTAAGTTCATTTGCGGGGAGGCAGGGGGTGGGTATTTTTAAAGCTTTTTTTATTAGAAATCCATTAAGAAAAAAGATTATTGGGAGTTACAGATTTGCTACGTCCACAAACTATAAATCATAATCCCTGATTACATGATGACGCATGCCCAGTTTATCTTAGGAGAGCTCACATTGTGTGCATGCGGCTTACCTGTGCTACATATGTATTTATTCCTGAAATTCTACCCTGCAGATCAGGAAATTCTTCGTAAGTTAGAGAAAGAGAAAATCCTGGTGTTTACACCGTCCCGGCGAGTCCAGGGCCGGCGAGTGGTGTGCTACGACGACAGGTTCATCGTGAAGCTGGCTTTTGAGTCGGACGGTATAATCGTGTCCAATGATAACTACAGGGACCTGGCTAATGAAAAACCAGAGTGGAAGAAGTTCATAGATGAGCGGTTATTAATGTACTCATTTGTCAATGACAAGTAAGTAAAACCATTTGCTTACAAGTAATCCTTTCCTGAATTATGATTATGAAAAGCTATTAAGAATCATTGGAAAATATGTTAAAAAGACAAAGCATAAAATTTGTTTGTAAATGGTGTATGCATACAGAGAAATGACTCAACTGCAACACATTAGTGAAAATTGATTGTATTAAGATTGTAGGATTGAGTGTCTGTCTTCTATTTTTAAACTTTTAATGTTGCCATATTGTCTTTTTATTAATATTAAACACTATATTTGTCAAGTGTTATTACTCAGCCATGTCGACAGTCCCGTAAGAGTCTGTACATAATTCACATTTTATGGGTAAATACTCAGTTTATTTCAAGTTCAAACACTGATGTAACTAGTAGCAGAGCTTTTCAGTAATAACTGCTTTTGATTGTGTATGCCATGAATTCTTGCTTCCATTGCACAGCTGATCCAAAACAGTAAGTTTATTTTCTTAAGACATTTTCTAAGTCAGCTGAGACGCACCTCAGTAGAGTGGAAAGAGAGTGGACGTAGTTAGACATCGTGACTGCGCCGTGTGAACTTAGATAAAAATAACTTCATTTATCTAAGCCTAGATTAGAAAAGTGTATTAACCTGCAGAGCAGAGCTGATGCTGCAGGGCTCACGCTCGGACGAAACGAGACGACCTGTGCACAGCTTGCGACCCGCACTAGGTGTCTCCCCGTCAGCCCCTGCTCTGTGCTCCGTCTCCCTTCTCTTCCTCAGCTGCCCCAGCCGCTCCCCACCTGGTCCATCCTGCTGCACAGTGTTGATGTTTATAAAACTCTCCTAAAACATCCGTGTGGTTGTTTTCTAAAATCCTTACAAAATCCCAAGACTGAGAGGAAGGAAGAAATAATTAGAACTGCTAGACTCAAAACTTGTTTGAATTAAAACAAATAAGAGAGCAGCTTGAAACATTTTAATTTTGTTTTCATCAGGAAAAGAGAACCTTGTGCACTAATACTTTTAACCTGTAAATGTTGAGTCAAAACTCTTGGATTAAAATTGAATAAAATATCTTAGAGTAATAAATCTTTACACTGTCTTTAGAATTAAGTCATCAGCACCCTGCTTAGGTATAATCTTGCATTTTATTCATCCTAGGTTCATGCCCCCCGATGACCCTCTTGGCAGGCATGGCCCAAGCCTGGATAACTTTCTGAGGAAGAAACCCATTGTCCCCGAGCACAAAAAGCAGCCTTGTCCATACGGTAACTTTCCATATGAGTATTTAATATCTGCCTTCAGAATACCATATGTCGTTACACTATTGTTAATAAACATTTTTAATTTGGGATGGTATAGTATGTACTTCTTTTGATTGTAATTAAATTTAAGAAAACGTCCTAACCATGAAAAAGTAATTATTTTTACCTAGTTGGGTTCAATGCAAATGCATTTCCCTGAATTAAAACATGGTTCCAAAAACTCAGTTGGTTAACTCTACATGAATTTTCCAGGTAGATAAAAATTTGGAGTTCTTACATCTAGGTGCACATCAGATTAGCATGGCTGTATCCCATTACAGCAATAGTTGTTTTTTTTTTAAAAAAAAAAAAAGGGAGTATTCTACCTGATTTATAAAGTCATACTAGAAGAGAATAGGCGGGTCGGAGTTGAGGACATGGTATTAGCCAAAAACTCTGGAGGTCATTATTAATCATTCGGCCACCTCTCTCAGTGCTGAGCATAGTAGAAGGAAAGGTGGCATTTCTCAGACATAAGGAGCAGAGTAACACTCGTGTGCCTCCCATTTCTGCCTCTGTGTCTTTCACGAGGGAAAGTAGTGCCAGACTGAGTTTTCAAGGCCTGGCGGGGGATGTTCCTTCACCTAATTCATGTTCCTCTCCATAGGAAAGAAGTGTACGTATGGACACAAGTGCAAATATTACCACCCGGAAAGGGGCAGCCAGCCTCAGCGGTCAGTGGCTGATGAGCTTCGTGCCATGTCGAGAAACACAGCAGCCAAAACTGCAAACGAAGGAGGGCTGGTAAAAAGCAACAGCGTGCCCTGCAGCACCAAGGGTGACAGCACATCCGACGTCAAGCGAGGCGCTCCGAAGAGGCAGTCGGATCCCAGCATCAGGACTCAGGTCTACCAGGACCTGGAAGAAAAGCTCCCCACCAAAAACAAACTGGAAACCAGGTCTGTACCCTCCTTAGTTAGCATACCGGCTACTTCTACTGCAAAACCCCAAAGCACTACATCTTTAAGCAATGGCCTTCCATCTGGAGTTCATTTCCCACCTCAGGATCAAAGACCACAGGGACAGTATCCTCCAATGTTGATGGCAACCAAAAATCATGGAGCGCCAATGCCTTACGAACAGTACCCAAAATGTGACTCCCCCGTTGACATTGGGTATTATTCCATGCTGAGCGCATATTCAAATCTGAGCATCTCAGGCCCACGAAGTCCTGAAAGGCGCTTCTCCTTGGACACGGATTATAGGATAAGCTCTGTAGCTTCTGACTGCAGCAGTGAAGGGAGCATGAGCTGTGGGAGCAGTGACTCGTATGTGGGGTACAATGACCGGTCCTACGTCAGTTCTCCCGACCCACAACTGGACGAGAATCTAAAGTGTCAGCACATGTACCCTCACGGCCGCCTTAATTCCCAACCCTTCCTGCAGAATTTCCACGACCCCTTAACCAGAGTGCAAAGTTACAGTCACGAAGAACCAAAGTACCATCACAAGCCGCCTCTCCCGCACCTGGCGGTGCATCTGCAGCACCCGGCGGTGGGGGCCCGGTCCAGCTGCCCCGGGGACTATCCCTCTCCTCCGGGCTCGACACACTCTAAGGCGCCGCACCTAGGGCGGTCCCTAGTGGCCACAAGACTAGACAGCATCTCCGACTCGCGGCTGTACGACAGTTCTCCTTCGAGGCAGAGGAAGCCTTACTCCCGCCAGGAGGGGCTGGGGAGCTGGGACAGGCAGGGGTTCGGGATGGACGCCTACGGCTACCGGCAGACCTACTCCCTGCCCGACAGCTGCTCGCAGCCCTGCTACGAGCAGTTCGCCTTCCAGAGCCTGCCCGAGCCGCAGGAGCCCGCCTGGCGGCTGCCCTACTGCGGGCTGCCGCAGGACCCCCCGCGGTACCAGGACAACCGGGAGAAGGTTTACGTCAACTTGTGCAACATCTTCCCGCCCGACCTTGTGAGAATTGTCATGAAAAGGAACCCTCACGTGACAGATGCCCAGCAGCTGGCCGCAGCCATTTTAGTGGAGAAATCGCAGCTGGGCTATTGAAAGATGATGCATCTTTGTGGTGTTTAGTCGTTTTTTGTTCAGCTCAAATGCTGAGGGAGGTTTGCTACAATAGCACATGTGATCTCCTTCTCAGCAAGGAGGTTAAATAGTATCCATTTATGTGAAATACTGTATCATGGAACCTGTATGTATAGCCCCACACAGTGCAAGTATCACGGGATTGCTTTACATTCAAACTTTTTTTTAACATTTCCTTTTTAAAGCTATATCCTTGGCTGGAGATTTCTCCAGTTTGATTTATTAGATGTATCTGGGGTCTTTGATATTAATCTTTGGTGCATCAGGGGTTTATATGCAGCACTTTTTAATCCTTATTTCATGTTTTATTAACTTGGTGTTTCTCTATCAATTGCAAGCAATTACAGTACCTTCAGAATGTTGAACATTTGACTAGACCTAGCAAACTATTTTTTCAAGCCAAGCTTAATTGGAATCTTTTACAGCTTTTTAAGTTATTTTTATTTGGGGAAAGTGGGCTTCTTTGTGCTATAATCATTATTTATAGAAACAAAGATATACTACAGCACTGACTATATTTTAAACAAATGTAAGTTACCAGTTTATGCTGAAATGGGTAACATATTAGAATGATTTATAATATGGCACTTTTTATTGTTTTATTTTTGTTTGGATTTTTTGTCGTTAAGTAATTAGTTAATTTAATATGGTGGATTTAAAGGAAAGCAGATGCAATCAATGGAAAAAATTGTTTCCATTTTTTTTTTTTTTCTTATGAATAAGGCAAAAGCTGTAACTGTTAGTTTACAGCTTTGCTATCCAGCTGTGCTGTGCTTCAAGATAGTAGAAATGGAATCGAATTCCTAGATTTCCACTGGCCTGTATTTTTAATGTGTTTGGGGCACAACGATACTGGATAATATAACCCTTTCGCAGTACTTGCCTGTTTTTAATGAATCTAATTATTCTCAGTGCAACTTTTATATTTAATATACTCTTCAGCTTTCCTGCTATTTATCAAGGCTGGCCTGAGGTGGTTTTATGTGTTGAGGATATGCAACATTTATTGATACTGCACTATGGAAATGGTGATGGAGGAGTTGTAAATGGTAACTTAACATTTTTGTAAGATACTGTATATTTTCCATTTTCCTGAAGGTTGGTTTATGGGGGGCCTGTTATATTATTAAGGCCAGATTCTTGCCACAAATAGTGTAGTTTTAGATACAGACTAAAGTCTGTTTTAGTATTAGTAAGGGATATTTCTGGTTTCAAAGTCATGGGTTTTGCTGGATGCTCATTCTTCCTGTCGGTTAGAAGGTAGATACTGCAATCAGTGGCAGACAGTTGTGGGATTGACATGACTTCCCTGTTGCCTCCAGTTGTTGAATTTCACTCAGCGTAACAGCCTCATTCCAATCTGTTTCTGTAGTCTGCCCTGGTGATTCTGATTCCTCCACATGCTACAGTTCGAAGTAAAGCCCTGAAAAACCAGAAAGTACCTTTTACTGTTGATACAAATTGTATCTTTTTAACTATAAGAACTATTTTGATTTGTAGATCTAGTTAAAACACAGATGTGTAACTATGATTAGACTTTTGGGCAACATTTTATCCCTTATTTAAATACAAATTTTTTAAGTAAAATTGAGGTCTAGAATAGGGTAGAAAATTAAAGTAACAATTTAGGTAAATAAAAGTGTCTGTCCTAGTTTTATATAATATATATTAAAATATATTAAATAAATTTATTGGCATTTTCTTTCTCCTAAAACATATCTAGTGTGAACTTAACTTAAAATAAAGGTAAAATGCTGCCTGAAAATAATGTCCAAGCACCTTTGACTAGGATAACATTTTCACTACTTGTGCGACACTGTGTGTTGCACGAAGTAGGGTTTGGGTATACAGTAAATGCTTCTAAAAGGCATTGTGCATATTGACATATCCAATAATCTGAACCGTGTTCAGCAAACTTAATTCAGGAAAGTGGTGTTCTACACAATTATTGCTGTTGTTTTTGAGGTGAGCGTGGCTCTCATCTGTACCCAGAAAGACTACGGATGAAACCACACAAACCGTTCCAGGTGGTGTCTGTCTGAGAGCGACCCCACTCACTCATGAAACTGTTCTTGATTTTGTGGGTCACTGTCTGTAGAACAAGCTTAAATGTAGAGGCGGAACCAGTGCCAAAAATAGGGTTACAAATGCATAGTACCTTTTATTTTAGTCATATTCTAAGCTTGTTGGGGTTTTTTTGTTTTTTGTTTTTTAGTGTGAAATCACTTTTAAATTGTGCATGTAGGTTTTGCTTCCATTCTCTTCATTTTAGTATCTTAATTGTTTGGAGATTCTGACAAACTTGACTGAATTTATCTAAATGAGATTTTAGGTGGGATGTGTATCACGCCTTTCATTTTACCTTCTGAATGTTTTTAGCTAACAGTTTGGTCGTTGCTTCGTGGATTTTAGACTCTGGGGAGTAGTGGGGCCTGCCACCACCTGTCCTGAAGTGAAGAGCTCTGAACTGCCCGCACTGAAATCCTTCAGTGTAATTGTAAGTTAAGATATAGCCATTTTCTTACGTCAAGGGGACAACTTGTCCCCCTTTTTTGAAACACCAATGTTGCTTTCAGAGCTTAAGAATCAGATATTTGTCAGACTTTAGATACAGCAAATTCTTAATTACCTAAAGCAATAAGTAAAAGGATCCATCATTAAATTAAATCCATAGCTGACTCCAAACCTTTAATGTAGCCAAAATTTTCACCTTAATCATACATTTTACCAGACTTGCTGATAAAGAAGAGGGGTGTGTTAGTGAGTAGTGGAGCTGCCAGGAGAAAGGATTCGACTGGAATGTTCTGCCCCTGAATAGTGGGAGTTGACTGTACTTTACACAGTGATGCGCCAGTTCCTGTCTCTCTGTCTTAGTACAGAGGGACTAGCACCCAGCTGGCCAAGTACTGGCCCTTAAGTGTTTCCTCCTTTCCTGCATGTGATATGTAAGTTTTCAGTCTCCTTTTTATGATCTCTGTGTGTATCCTGATAGAGTTTGTCATTAACCTAAACATTTGAAGGAAATGCAAACCAGTATAAAATAATTGATACTGGTAGAAACTAGAACTTTGTGTTTTTATGAAAATTCATTTATAAGCATATGTACTATAACTAAAAAGAACGTTTTTATATATACACATACATGCATACCTATTTGTCATGAAGTATTAACAATGAGAGGGTGTTATGCTTTCGATGGCTAACTTTTCCTGAGTTGAACTACGTTTCCTTGAGATGTACATGCCCGAGTCTGGAGTCCGGATGACCAATGGCAAGGTTTAGAAACACTTGAATGGAAAGCAGCTCTTCACTGTTTTTATTCCTGGTATTTTTAAAGAATTATTTTGATAATTTTAATAGAATGTGTAACTTTAAAACACACAAAAAAACCTTAAAGTAGTATTGATTATACAGATAATTATTTAACATGTGTTTTATGGATGTATCTATATGTATATAGACAGTAATATATTTATAAAACAAATATACTTTATGTTGTAGCTGTTAGTGTGTGGTAGGTGGGCGGGTGGCTCTGGGTGTGTGTGTGTGTGCCTGGGTGTGTGCGCGCCTGTGTGTTATCGGGCTGTTTTCCCGATCGAATGGCAGTTACCCTAAGGTACATTTGGCTGTGGCTATTCCTCTGGCCACCCAGCTTCCTTATTCAAGATAAAATAAGATGCACAGTGCTTTGGCCACTCTGTTAGCGTGTGGCTCATCCAACACCTGGAGAGTTCCAAGCGACCGGAAGCCGGTCGGCTTATAGCCAGAGCGAATGCCCGTGTTCCAGATGTATTAAGCAAGGGAGCTCAGCTAGGGTGTTGGCTTCCTAGGTACATACCAACAAATAAAGTGGAGCATAAAATACATGAACTGACACATGCATCAGAATAAGAGAACGGGTGTTAATAAAAGTAGAGAAACATACACGAATTTAGGTTGGTCTGGGAAACCCTCTAGGGCAAGGGTTGACAAACTTTGCTGTGAAGGATAGGGTAGTAAACAGTTCGGGCTTCGAGGATCACATGGTGTCTGCAAACTGCTCACCTCTGCCCCGTGAAATTAGGCACAGACAATATATGCCAGTGGGTGTGGCTGTGTGCCAAGAAAACTTAATTTACAGAAACAAGCAGATCAGATTGGGCCTATGGGCTGCAGTTTGCTGATCCCTGCCCTAGAGGGAGAAAATCAGACATATTAAAAATACATTAAATCCCGATATATGGTAATATAGGAACTAATTGTATTTCAGTTGACAACGAAAGAAAATCTTTTATTGATGGCCTTCAAAAGAAGACCATGAGACAGTCATATTAAAGCATCTTAATCCACTTAGGTGTTTTACCTGCCCACACCCATTATTTATTAGAAAGATTTCTTATGTTGAACCACAAAAAAAGTATTCTGTAAAAAGATATTTCAATAAGTATTGAAATTTTTTCATGAACTATATAATTCTATTGCTAAATGGGAATCCCTTACCTACCTTTTGTTTCTTAAGGGCCTCATGGACCAAAAAATTCTGTTGTATTTTGAAAATTGGCATATAATTAGCCACAAAATATTTTAAAGACTGCATTTATCAGTTACATTTTTCTGCTGGTTTTTGACTTCTAAAAAATGACAGATAGGCCCTTCCTTTAAAATAGTTCTAAAGAAGATAAGTATATTGTAATTTCACACACTGTAGCTTTATTCTGTAAGGTTAAGAATTGTGACTAGTGTAATGGTAGCTAAAATGTGAGTGCATTCGCTGTATTGGTGTCTCTATAAGAAACTAAGTGTATCCCTGCTTTCGCTGTCCCAACCTTTAGAGTAGACTTTTTGAAGATACCTTGGGACAGTCCTTGGTGAGTGGTGTTCTTAACATGATCATGTGTAATTTTGAATTCACTGGATGTACACTGCGGAGCATGTTCATTCACAGTGTTTTATAAATTGTTACATCAGTAACATCTTTTAGTCTTGAACATTACCATCCACTTAAGTAGTTATACTTTCTTGTAAAATTGGAATACAACTATAGATTTTAACAGCAACTGGTTACTTAACTTTTTGCTTTAATGAGTCTATTAACCTGCTTTTTACTTCTGTTACAATGATACTGTTGTGTGTGAAGAGTGACTTTTCCCCAAGGTCCTTAGTCTTTCAGATTTAAAAACAATGTAAAGTTTTTACCATTTGGCAGTAAAAAAAAAAAAAAGTCTGTGCATATTTTAATATTTTGATCTGTAAAATTTGTAAAGTTTCACTTTTTAAACCATGTACCAAATTTGCCATTTTTCCATCTGGTTATTTCAGATGAGTGACAAATGGTTGTCCATGGAAGTTTTTTACCCTGTTCCTAAAGCAGTTTGTGTCTCAAGGGGAAAAGACATTGAAGATTTTTTTGAAATTACAAATGTCCTGGCTAATACGAAATACCCACAAACATGCAGACTTCTGCAGACGTAGACATAGCATTGCGAGTGAGCCAGGTTACTGACTTTGTCATTCCCTTTTAGGTTTCTTCCTCCCAAACCATAGTTGTATGCTAACAGTAAAATTTCCAATTTGATCTCTCAGACTTTTCTTATAGGAAAATAAGGCAAAGAATATCTTTCGAACAACAGCTGATCAACTGATGTGATTCTGTTTATCCTACATCTGTTCTGTGTGTTTCTGTAATGGAATTTTTACAACTCCAAAAAGCAGTATTTTAGACCTATTGGAAACCGTATCAAAATGGCTATGTGATTCTGCCGCTGAGAAAAAAATAATTAAAAAGTTCATTTTTCTTAATGTTCGTTTGTTTTTGTTTCATGAAGAAATGGATTTCGTGCAGCAGCACAGGTGCTACACACATAAAGGCACCTGTCCCTGGTCCCACGACTCACAGTCAGGGGTTAATAACGTGCGAGGCTTCCGAAAGATGAGCACACATTCAGTATCCATGTGTCAGAGCCACAGTTAATTCATATGAAACTGTGAATTAAGTGCCAGTTTCTCTCAGTGGTTAACCTAAGCTGCTTCTGCCTTCCCTTGAGGTTTCTCTGTTACCTCCCGTGACCTGAAGAGGTCTTTATTGTATAGATCTTTCTAGCTGTCCGCATCTCTCCTCGCATGAATGAATCTTTATTTCTTACTAATGCCTCCCCTGAGTAGGCTCGTTTCCCTTCCTTTATGACCTAGGAATTGAAAATACTCTATTTCAGATACGGTCACAATCCCCAAGTGGTCTAATGACCATGATGATATTACATACTCAAACTCTATGTCAGTATATGGGAAACTATATCATTTCCAAAAGGGGATTTTTCCCCTTTATTTTTTCAGATTTTTGCTTTTGTTACTATTTTCCTAAAATTGCTGTTTGCCATTGTCAGGTATTTCTCTATTTTAGCTCCATCAGCACATTTGATGATTGATGTTCAGCTGCAGTTGGCAGGGCACTCAGCATATCCAGAGTGAGTGTTAGGTGGGAGGGGCTGAGCTGAGGACCTAGGGGAGTATCAGGTTAGGCTACAGTGTGGATTAGACTTGGTAGTTTATCCTGCCCCGCCCCCCTCCCTACCTAAAGGACTTGTACACATTGATGAATCAAGTCATTTTTGGGAAGATGAGAGTTATAAAAAGCAACAATAATGGTGAATTTATTCAAAACAAAATGCCTATAGTTGGGCCTCCTTAAACATGTACCTTCTAACATTTGTTCCTTGAGAGAGAGAGAGACATGGTATTGTGGAATCCCACCCCCAATGCACCAACATGCAATAGGTAAATATCACCGAAGGACCCAACACAAACACCCATCCTGGGGCACCATGAAAACACTGGTTTGAAGGGCACCGAGACTATGCCAGAAAGAAATCCAGTTCCTAACCTCAGAGCGTGTGCCAAACAGGAGGGAAGCTGCAGGAACTCCAGTATCAGGAACACCGGATGGTGCCATTCGTGCCCCCCCACCTTGATGGCACAGGCAAGGAGCACTATCCGGTGCCCTAGCTGCCAGCCGAAGCCGTCCCAGCCCACTCCAGGCCCACACCAGTTTCAGGCTTGCTCTCAGTTCCCCGCAGCCCGGGCCCTCTCCAGCCTCAGCTCTGGGATGTGGCACAGCTTATCCTGGGGCGTCTCCTTGGCCTGCTCCAGCTACGGCTTTCATCCAGCCCCCCGACTTGTCCCCCATGGCTGTTCATCCCTGGGCTCCCCACAGCTCGCACCCTAGCCTGGCTAGTTCCAGGGCCTTCCTGCACCAATAAATTGGATAATCTAGAGGAAATGGATGCATTCTTAGAAACATAAATCAGAAAGAAACGGAAAATCTGCACAGACTGCGTACTAGAAAGGAAATGAAGTAGTAATCACACAACTCCCAAAAAACAAAAGGCCAGGAGCAGACAGCTTCACAGGTGACGTCTACAAAACATTCTAAAGAGAACTAACTTATCCTCAAACTATTCCAAAAAAAGCTCCCAAACTTATTGAATGAAGGCCACATTGTGCTGACACCAAAACCGGAGAAATACACTACAAAAATAAAACAAATAAATTACAGGCTAATATCCCTGATGCAAAAATTCTCAACAAAGTATTAGCAAACCAAATTCAGCAATGCATTAAGATCATATAACACGATTAAGTGGGACTTATTCCAGGAAAACAAGGATGGTTCAATATCCACAAATCAATCAATGTGATATACACTACATAAATAAAATGAAGAATAAAAATCATATAATCAATAGAGTCAGAAAAACTATTTGAAAAATTCAACATCTGGAGAGAAACAAGCTGGCCAAGCAGGGAACAGCTGCACCCGTCGCCTCCCACAACCACATCAAAATTACAACTAAAATACAGAACCATGGTCACTCAGAGCCTCCTGAGATCTGGCTGAACACAGGCCCTACAACCAGGGAGCTGAAGAAGCACCGAGAGCAGGAGGAGGGGCGCAGATGTGGGCTGAACGGGGCTGAATCGTGGAGACGCGGCCGCGCCCCACACCCGGTGCCGCGAGTGAAACCCGGGAGGGAATCTTGGCAGCAGAGGTTTCCCGAAGGAGCGAGGGGTCCCAGCCCCACAGCAAGTCCCCAGCCCAGGGCTCCAGGCCGGGAAGAGACGTCCCCACAACTGCGGGCCGTGAAACCAGCAGGGACTGTCCCTGAGGGTCGCGGAGGCCGCGGGAGCCCCAGCAGCTCCTCTAAAGGGCCCGGCACGGACTCACTCGGACGCTCCCTCTGAGCCCAGCGCCGGGCAGCAGCCGGAAAGGACCCGGGACACTCGGGGAGGAACTAACC